ATTGTTAGTATATACACATATGGATCAGGGTAAATTAGAACCTGGACCTAAAAATGCATTTTTATTGGTTATGTCTCTAGGTGAAAAGATATAGGTTGTGGTGCCCTGATCCTAAATCACCTAAACTAGGATTGAGAAAAATGTAATATTCCATGAGTATGCTATGTGCTTCTAAAAGTAGATAATGTTGTTATTCCTTCTGATGCAAGTACTACACATAAGAGCACTGGAAAGAAGGTTGAGTTAGAGACCGATTCTCATAGTTCAACTCAACAACCAGTTATTAGTTTGCCTGAAAATAATGAGGAAATAGAAACTACAACTAAAGATGACACATGTAGGATTGCAAAAGGCAAGGGGAAAAGATCGATAAAGCCACCTCAAAGATATGCAAATTCAACCATTACATTTGCATTGTCAGTTACTAAAGGGATGTATATGTCGATGAAGCTACTACCAGTAGCCAAGTTCAAGGTTTGCTTGGACTTGCTTCATGTCAAAAAACGTTGAAGTGCCATAGGGTGCATTTGTAGAGGCGTTAGCAGTATACTAATGAGAAAGTTGAGACCTCATTCGGGTTGTTGAATCAAGGTGAAAATTTATTAAAATTGTGCCTCAAAACCCTCTGATTGTTTAATTTAGACAATGGGTCATCGATGGTCACTTAAATCATTGATGGTTTACAGTGAACAATTAAAGAAAAATGGAAACATGATTTTGAATCATCGATAGACTATAGGGAACCATTGATGGACTGTAATAGATCATTGATGATCATGTTTGACCATCGATGGTTACGATGTTGATTACAGTTTTGATGATTTAATCTCAGCCGTTCGTTTTCTTTGGATCTCCAACTTCTACGAAGTTTTGGATACCTTTTTCAGATCTACTATGGTCTCCTATATATTAAAATAGAGAGAGTTTAGATGACTGTTGGATCATGAGAATATGAGAGTTTGATAAGGAGAATTTGAGTGTTTAGGTTATTGCCTTGTTTTCTTGTACTTCTTTCTCTTTTGATAGTGAATGTTCTCCAACACTTCTGCCATGAATGTAGCCCAAATTTAGTGAACCACATAGATGTTTGTGCTTGTGATTGCTTTCCTTATATTCCCGTGCTTGTTCTTCGCAATTATTTTTGCTTTATTGTCATTTGTTCTAGCGACGACTCTAGCTCTGGAGGTCATAATGGTTCCGTCCATGCATTAAATGTGCTGGTGACTGAGAAGCTAAGCATTATATGATGAAGCTGATAGGTCATCTCATAGTTCAAGACATTCCTCAATGAGTCCAAGTGGAGTAGGCATTTTGTGGGTCCCATGAGATAAAAATCCTGTAGTGAAATGAGGTATCAAAATGTAAAAGCCATAAGCTTTGAACTCTGGACTTAGCAGTAGTCTATAGCCTAGGAGTTCATTTAACAAAATGAAATCTCACTATTCTATTTTTTTAAAAGTATAAACATATTTCGGATTTACTGAGACCTGTATTAAAATCGGTTGATTTTGAATGAGATTTGATAATGGACTTGTTATTCGCTAGAACTCTTTTGAGTTGATGATTTCGAAGGGAAGAATTTTCCGTTTTGATTAAAATTTTATTTTAAGAACTTGGAAGGAAAGATAAATGAGAAGGATATAAAATTAGTTTGGATTTTTCTATTTTTAAGTTAAATTTAGTGATGTAAAAAGGACAAGCTCTTTCAATCTGATTTTGTATTGTTTTAAACAATCTTTTGCGTTAAAATAAATTAGAATAGGCAGCACTAGTCCTCTTTTTATTTGCACTTTTATCTCTTCTTTGTATTCAAACTAGTAGATATGATACTGCAATCTGATCATTTGTACCACTAATTCTCACATCTCACGCTGAGTAGGCAGTAAGTTTTTTTGTATGGCTTTTTATTGTCAATCCAAGTCTTGTTGATGATGAACATTAGGATGTATGAGATGTTGTATTCCTCGTGAATATGTCATTAAAAAAATATAATAAATCAAGAAGCTTGCTTTTTTAACCGAGTTCTGCATAAACAAGACATGAAAGTGCGCAATATCACATTCCATCCAAAATAGTGAGTATTCAGGTCCATTAATAATTTGCTATACCTCGGATTGTAGAGAAATAGCCAATGTAGCTTCATCCTTCAAAAGTGTAAATTTCATTTAGGCTGCGTTTGAGAACTTGGATTTGGGTCTTGGATTTAAAATCCAGGGTATTTCAAATCCAAATCTCTTGTTTGGGCCTCAAATTGGACTGAGATTTTAAATCAAATGATTTTAAAGAGGTGATTTTGAAAGCCCAAATACACGTATTTGAAATCTCACCCTCACCCTTGGTATTTACCAAATCCAGATCCGGACGACTCCTCCTCTCTCTAGTTTCTCAGTCGCGATCCCGACTCCTCCTCTCTCTAGTTTCTCAGTCGCGATCTCGAATCTCTCTCAACGCAGGTATCTCCTCTCTCCTCTCTCCCCTTCTCCTCTCTCCCCTTCTCCTCTCTCGTCTCAACGCAGGTATCTCTCTTCGTATTTTGAAACCCTAGATCTGATCCGACTTGGCTTTTCTATGTTGTAGCTTGTTTTTCTCTCTCTTTCGGTTGCTCTCCTCAAACTTCTGATCCGACTTGGCTTTTCTATGTTGTAGCTTGTTTTTCTCTCTCTTTCGGTTGCTCTCCTCAAACTTGCAGTTTCTGATTGGGATTCAAGGTATGACTTTAATTTTTGCTGTTTTTTAATTTTTTAAATTTTTTTGGTTGTTTTTTGGGGATCTGAGGATGTTACTATGCTCCAATGGCGATCAATATGGTTGCAAGTCTGATATATGATTTGTGTTAATAATATCCAGAGCAGGGTTTGCATGAACTGTTTGAGATGAACTGTTTGAGATGTAGAAATTTGGTTGCTCTTTTGGCTCTATGGATCCATATGTAACAGGTTTAATGATTCGAGGGACTAATTTCATGATTCACGAATCATGTAAAGAAGCACAATGATATAACTTTGAAAGTTCCGTTCTAGGATGCAAATAATGTGATAATAACCATCAGATATTATATTCCATGTATGACTGCTTATCGATATTTGTTTCGAGACATTAGTACAGCATTCGATTTTGGTCATCATGCTGAAGTTTATGTCGTTCTTTCGGTTCTAATGCTAGGAGTGCTGAAAAATATTGCCGGTAATTTCCCCCCCTTCATTTACTTTAATTATATTATATTTTCAATGTTTTTCTAATGTATATCCATCAGCTATGCTGATCCTTAAGAGGAAGGCGCATCAGATCAAGAGTTGTTCGTTTCAAAAGACTTTGGAGTCACCTATTAATGTCCTTTCAATAACTCCAACATAGATTTATGAGTTATATTGGAGTTCTGGTCTTCAGGGTTCGTAAGATGGTCTACATCATGGCCAACCTGCATAATTGAAATGATCAAATCACTTCATTATTGTCTCAAAGCAAAGGTGATATGGCATGAGACATAGAGGTTGTAACTTGTAAGTAAAACTGTAAAATTATCGGTGATGTTTAAGCATCTATATGCTTAACAGATATTTGAGCTGTTTAGGTTTCAGAATGCAATCAGCTTGCTAACTCTGCTTATTCCTTCAAAGTAAGTATTTGCACTCTACCCTTTGAACCCTCTCTCGTATATGCACTCTACCCTTCCACCCCGAAGCTGAAAACAAATTTAAATAAATTAGAATTTACTGTTTGTTTGGATTGCATGCACTTTCCCTTTTCTGCTCGTGTTCTGCTTTTTAACTGCCCTTTCCTTTATTATGCTGAGAACTTTTCTTGCTGAAATCACCAATTTGTTTCTCGTATATCATCACCCGGGGAAACTATATTGCAGTGTTATCACTTCTTGAATATGATATGCTTGGTTATCTTCCATCATTGACAGCTGCTTCTACTATTTTTCTGGCAAAGTTCATACTTCAACCAACAAAACATCCTTGGGTATATATAACTATGTCTCTTTGTCTTATATGGTTATCCAAAGAGGTTCACATCCTAAAATCATTTTCCTGCTTTTATCTATGTAAAATGCCACCTTGCATCACTACACCCTGTATCAGCCCTCTGAACTATGTGAATGTGTGAAAGCTCTACATAATCTTTACTGTTACAGCCCTGGCAACAACTTGTCAGCAATCAGGGAAAAATACAGCCAGCACATGGTAAGAAACTGCTCTTCGTTCAATTCCTGTATTTGCCCTTTCAGCACAGAAGTTTGGTTCTGATTTAAAGTTTCATGTTCTTAATTTTTTCAGTACGAGTATGTGGCCAAGAAAATTTGCCCTCCATCAATACCTACAGACTTCTTCCAGAGTCCAAGCAGTTAGGTTTTAGATCAAGAGCCATCCAACTCTTTGTTGAAGGTTTTCAGTAACTTGCTGTGAGTGATGTACCTTCGAGTTGTGATAATTTCGGGCTGCAATCACTCTCGGTCTGTGATCACTCTGTGTTGACTTGTTCCAATTGTAGATTTTAGAGCAGATGTTTTTACTATTAAGGATATGGTATTGGTGAATGTGCGAAGAATCTGCTGTTGTAAATTTTCCGTGCAATTTTTTTTCCTTAGGTCATCACAAGGCCATTATCTTGAAGTTTTCAGATCTTGATGTTGGTTTTGATTCTAAAGTGTCTGTCCTCGAGAAATATAGCAAGCTGTGAAGAGAAATAGTCAGGTAGCTTGTTGATGAAATATAGCTGTGTCTGTCCTAGAGAAATATAGCAAGCTGTATTGAGAAATAGTCAGGTAGCTTGGTGATGTAGAAGGATCTTCTACATCACCAAGCTACCTGACTATTTCTCAATACAGCTTGCTATATTTCTCTAGGACAGACACAGCTATATTTCATCAACAAGCTACCTGACTATTTCTCTTCACAGCTTGCTATATTTCTCGAGGACAGACACTTTAGAATCAAAACCAACATCAAGATCTAAAAACTTCAAGATAATGGTCTTGTGATGACCTAAGGAAAAAAAATTGCTCGGAAAATTTACAACAGCAGATTCTTCGCACATTCACCAATACCATATCCTTAATAGTAAAAACATCTGCTCTAAAATCTACAATTGGAACAAGTCAACACAGAGAGTGATCACAGACCGAGAGTGATTGCAGCCCGAAATTATCACAACTCGAAGGTACATCACTCACAGCAAGTTACTGAAAACCTTCAACAAAGAGTTGGATGGCTCTTGATCTAAAACCTAACTGCTTGGACTTTGGAAGAAGTCTGTAGGTATTGATGGAGGGCAAATTTTCTTGGCCACATACTCGTACTGAAAAAATTAAGAACATGAAACTTTAAATCAGAACCAAACTTCTGTGCTGAAAGGGCAAATACATGAATTGAACGAAGAGCAGTTTCTTACCATGTGCTGGCTGTATTTTTCCCTGATTGATGACAAGTTGTTGCCAGGGCTGTAACAGTAAAGATTATGTAGAGCTTTCACACATTCACATAGTTCAGAGGGCTGATACAGGGTGTAGTGATGCAAGGTGGCATTTTACATAGATAAAAGCAGGAAAATGATTTTAGGATGTGAACCTCTTTGGATAACCATATAAGACAAAGAGACATTGTTATATATACCCAAGGATGTTTTGTTGGTTGAAGTATGAACTTTGCCAGAAAAATAGTAGAAGCAGCTGTCAATGATGGAAGATAACCAAGCATATCATATTCAAGAAGTGATAACACTACAATATAGCAGGCAAGATACTCTAATTGTAGTAGGGGAGCCTGCGTTATAAAACAAACATGAGAAACACTAGCGTATGAGAAAACTTTTTAGAAAGAAAATAAAACAAGGTAGAAGCTTAAAATCACCTCATCACATCCTTGAGCGACTCTGACGAATCTCCTACATTGATCAATAAAAGTACAAACATCACTAAGGAGTTGTTATCGTTGAAGAAATGGGATATAGTTATTAGAGAAGTTGACTATTACCTCAAGAAACATTTGGTTGTTGGGGCTGTTGAAGAAATGGGATATAGTTATTAGAGAAGTTGACTATTACCTCAAGAAACATTTGGTTGTTGGGGCTGTCATTTCGAACTTCAAGTACTTTAGAACAAGTTGACTATTACCTCAAGAAACATTTGGTTGTTGGGGCTGTCATTTCGAACTTCAAGTACTTTAGAACAGCAGCTTCCATTTGCAATACCTGTGAATCAAATTATTAATAGGAAACCGATGATGATACTAAAAGTCTGAGAGGTTAAACACCGCACCTCTTCGTTAAAGTAAGTGTTGTCAGTTATATAGCAAAAATTTTCTACTTGTGGCGCACTTATCTCTTCATATTTCCTAAAATTGTTTTGTATCATCATCAGCATATATAGAAGAATATCACTACGTCAACAATGGAGGGAGAAAAAAAATCTTACGATGCTATCAACATGCAAGCAACTCCAAGAAGCTGCAGTCGCTGGCGGTTCATCTCATTACCAGAGAAATACCGGTCAATGTAATTCACAGTCAAGTATAGTGTGTCTGGTACAAGCCAGTATTCTTCTGCAACCTGCAGTTTAATACTATTAATAACTTGACCATTAAAGAAGAGGTTTAACAGAAATAGAGCAAGATCTTGATGTACTTTTACAAGCCAATCTATAAGGATTGTGTTGGGGATTCGAAACAATCAATCGAACCCTTGCCCTTCCGGACCTTGTGTTGAAAGTAGGAAAGTAGGAATAAACCACAAATAAAGATCTAACCTTGTAAAATAGTAAAATGTGACGAACACATGAATTTAACGAGGTTCGGCAACGTGCCTACGTTCTCGGGAGACACACCACACAATCTCTTTATTAATTGAAGAAGGAAATACAAACTCTCAAACAAGGGGTTAATCTCTCTGAGATTCTCTCTCTCTTTGCAGTCAAAAACTCTCCTTTTTATGATAATACAAACCCTAAAACGTTTTAGGTATATATATAGAATCCTGGTTGAAACAGAATCCCAAGCGGAACAGGAAACTTCCAAAACTGCGTCCGGTCGACCGGTCCGGTCGACCGAACGGACTCCAGAGAGTTTGGTGGTCGACCGGCGCGGTCGACCGATGCAAAACCCGAGAGCAGTTTCTCCTACAGGGTTTTGGCGGTCGACCGGGCCGGTCGACCGCGACCTAATCCAGGCCCTTCTGGCTTCTGTGCACGTTTGCGGTCGACCGACCCGGTCGACCGCAGATTAGCCTGCTCGTTTTTCTGCCCCTTTTTGATTCCAGTCTTCGTCTCGAACTTTGGGTCTACACCTTAGACTAACAATCTCCCACTTGGAGACCAAAGTGTCTGCAATGAGTTCCCCCCGAACTCTCCCCTTCTTCGCATGTATCTTTCCCCCCCGAAAAAGTTCTTCCTTCAATCAACAATATCCCGGCGATCTCGCCGATCCTCGTAGTGTGGCTCCGCCTTCGTCTTCTACTCGTGAAGACCAACTGAAGTTGCGCACAACTCCAGTTTCTCAATGGTGACTGCCTTTGTCAACATGTCCGCCGGATTTTGACTCCCCAAAATCTTCATTAAATGCAACTTTCCGTCCTCGATCAGCGAGCGTATAAAATGGTATTTGACGTCGATGTGCTTCGTTCTGGCATGATATACTGGATCCTTGGCAAGATGTATAGCGCTCTGGCTATCACAATAAAGAACTCCTCTCCCTTGCTTCAGATCCAACTCTTCCAAGCACCCGTTCAACCAGATCATCTCCTTACTTGCTTCAGTCACTGTGACATACTCAGCCTCGGTTGTTGATAAAGTCACAATCTTCTGCAGACGTGAGACCCAGCTCACTGCTGTCGACGCTAAGGTATAAACATACCCCGTGGTGCTTCGCCTCGTATCATGATCACCGACGAAGTCCGAATCCACGTATCCCTACAGCACCAACTCCTTCCTCCTGAAACATAGTGGCTTGTTCGTTGTTCCCCTCAAGTACCACATTATCCACTTTACGACCTCCCAATGCTGCTTTCCTGGATTGCTTGCAAATCTGCTCACAACTCCCACTGCATGGGCGATGTCCGGCCTCGTGCAAACCATCGCGTACATGAGACTCCCAATGACCGAAGAATATGGCACCCTGCTCATATGCTCTCTATCTGCATCTGTCTTAGACGATTGCTCCTCAGATAGCTTGAACTGACTTCCAAGGAGTGTGCTAACAACTTTAGCATTCTGCATGTTAAACCTCTGAAGTACCTTCTCAATATATTCAGCTTGGCTCAATCTCAATGTCCCTTCAGCTTCATCCCTACTGATTCATATCCCTAGAATCTGCTTCGCTGCACTCAGATCCTTCATTGCAAATTCCTTTGCTAGCTGCCTCTTCAAACTGTTTATCTCTTCTAAACACGGTCCTGCTACCAACATGTCATCAACATATAATAACAAAATAATGAAGCTGGACTCGAACCTTTTGAAATAACAGCAATGATCCGAATTGCATCTTCTGTAGCCATTGTTTTGCATGAAATTATCAAACTTCTTATACCACTGTCTTGGAGCCTGTTTCAAACCATATAAGCTCTTCTTGAGCTTACACACCATCTCTTCCTTTCCTTCTTCAATGAAGCCAACAGGCTGCTTCATGTAGATTTCTTCATCCAAGTCACCATGAAGAAAGACAGTCTTCACATCTAACTGCTCAAGGAAGAGGTCTTCTGCAGCTACCAAACTCAACACCACTCTGATGGTTATGAGTTTCACAACAGGAGAAAATATCTCCGTGTAGTCTACTCCTTCACGTTGTTGAAACCCTTTCACTACTAATCTGGCCTTGAATCTCTTGCTTCCATCACTCTCTTGCTTAACCCGGCTGTTGAAACCCTTTCACTACTAATCTGGCCTTGAATCTCTTGCTTCCATCACTCTCTTGCTTAACCCGGTAGACCCATTTATTTCACTACTAATCTGGCCTTGAATCTCTTGCTTCCATCACTCTCTTGCTTAACCCGGTAGACCCATTTATTATGCAAGGTTTTCTTCTGTGCAGGTAGCTGGGCTAACTCCCATGTCTCATTGGTGAGTAGAGAATCCATCTTCTCCTGCATCGCATGCTCCCACTGCTAAGATTCACTAACTTGCATTGTCTCTTCATAGCTTTCCGGCTCACCGCTATCTGTTAAGAGTAGATAATCAAGTGATGAGAGGTATTTGGGATTTGGTTTAGGTACCCTAGATGACCTCCTAGGCTCCACGCCTGGGTAGTAGCTTCTGTACCTGTAGTCTCCTCCGTTCTACGGTCAGAACTGACATCATCGCCCCTATCTGGAAGTTCCTCTATATCCATGTACTCGGATCCACCTGTATCCGTAGTGTTGCTCCCACTGCTTTGGCTATCCTTGGCATTGTCTCTGTCATTGTACATCACCTCCTCATTGAATATCACATCCCGACTCCTGATGATCTTCCTGTTCTTCTCATCCCAAAAGCGATACCCGAACTCATTAATGTTGTATCCAATGAATGTGCACTTATGTGACTTAGCTTCTAGCTTGTCCCTGACATGGTCACTGTATGAACATAAGCCACGCAACCAAATACCCGCAAGTGTGAGAGATTTATCTTCTTTTCACTCCAAACCTCCTCTGGAATCCCAAAATCTAATGGAACTGATGGCCCGTGATTAATAAGGTATGCTGCTGTATGCACCGCATCCGCCCAAAATATCTTAGGCAGACCTGCATGTAGTCGCATGCTCCGTGCACGCTCTGTCAAGATCCTGTTCATCCTCTCTGCAATGTCGTTCTGTTGCGGCGTCCCTGGAGTAGTCCTCTCTAAGCGAATCTCATTCGTAGCACAGAACCTCTTGAACTCCTCCAGCTCGTATTCTCCACCATTATCTGATCTCAAGCACTTCACCTTCAGATCTGTCTCGTTCTCGACCATGACCTTCCACATACTATAACTTGATAAATTGTGCACTTGCAATTTTGGTACATAATTATCGCCAAAAGAAGACACGCTGGCTGGGCCCCATACATCTGTATGAATCAACTCTAGCTTCTGAGCCTTAGATGGCCTTCCACCCTTCTGAAAACTAACCCACTTCTGCTTCCCAAGGATGCAGTCTTCACAAACTCCGACTTCCATGGCGTCGATCCCGGTTAGCTTTCCTTGTGAATGTAGAATTTTCATCCCCTTCTCACTCATGTGTCCCAGCCTATTATGCCACAGATCTGTACTCTCCTTGCCAGCTGCAATTGCGAGGATGTCACTCGCATGTGAAGTGAGGTAGAGAGTTCCCGTTTTATTGCCTCGGGCAACAACCATCGTACCATTGGAGATTCTCCAAGAATCCCTGGTGAATATCGAAACGTAGCCTTCTGCTCCAAGCTGTCCCATCGAAACAAGATTCATCTTCAGCTTCGGCACGTGTCTCACGTTCTTCAAGTTCCACTTAGAGCCCTTTATCTGTATATGAACGTCGCCCTTTCCAACAATATCGTAAGGTTCATTGTCCCCCAAGTATACTTTACCAAAGTCCCCTGCTACATAGTTCTGAAGTAGTTTCCTATTAGCAATGGCGTGGAAAGAAGCTCCTGAGTCGATGACCCAAGAATCAGAATCGCTATCCATAGCAAGGATCAAGACATCCTGCACGATATGAGTCTCCTGCTCACCCGCATCCTTCTTTGGTGCTTTACAGACCGAAGACATATGGTCCTCCTGGCCGCAGTTCCAACACTTCCCTTTGATAGACCTAACCTTCGAGTTCGGCCTCTTCTTCACTGATTTCGACCGATTCCTGTTCTGGTTCCCTTTCTTCTGGCTTCTGCCTCTCTGCTCGAAACTTAGGGCTGAACCTGAACCTTCTGATTCAGATGATTTCCTTCTAACCTCATCGGATAGAATCATGCTAACAACCTCATTCAGCTTCAACTTTTATTTTCCCACCGAATTGCTGATTGCCGTCACACAACCTGCCTAACTATCCGGCAACTGCGATAGTAGTAGAAGAGCCTGCACTTCGTCATCGAACGTGATGTCTACGGAGATAAGTTGATCAACAATCGTGTTGAACTCGCTGAGGTGCATCGTGAAGGACCGTCCTTCTGCCATCTTGAGGTTGAAAAGAGTTTTGACTAGATGCACCTTATTTGCTGCCGACGGTTGCTCGTTCATCTTTGCGAGCGCTTCCATAAGCCCCACCGTCGTCTTCTCCTTCAGAATATTGTGGGCTACTGATTTGACAAGCGACAACCGGATTTGCCCTAGAGCCTTCCTATCCAGTACCTCCCAATCACCATATGACTCCTCTTTCTTCTTCCCCTTTTCTTTGCCCATCAACGGGCAATACAAATCCTTCTGGTACAGATAGTCCTTCATCTGCGACTTCCAGTAGGCGAAATCCAATCCATCGAACTTCTCAATCTTTGATTTGTTTTCCTCTGCCATGGTTTTCACACAAAATTGCTGAACGAGGCTTTGATACTAGTTGTTGGGGATTCGAAACAATCAATCGAACCCTTGTCCTTCCGAACCTTGTGTTGAAAGTAGGAAAGTAGGAATAAACCACAAATAAAGATCTAACCTTGTAAAATAGTAAAAGGAGACGAACACACGGATTTAACGAGGTTCGGCAACATGCCTACGTCCTCGGGAGCCACACCACAAAATCTCTTTATTAATTAAAGAAGGAAATACAAACTCTCAAACAAGGGGTTAATCTCTCTGAGATTCTCTCTCTTTGTAGTCAAAAACTCTCCTTTTTATGATAATACAAACCCTAAAACGTTTTAGGTATATATATAGAATCCTGGTTGAAACAGAATCCCAAGCGGAACAGGAAACTGCCAAAACTGCGTCCGGTCGACCGGTCCGGTCGACCGAACGGACTCCAGAGAGTTTGGCGGTCGACCGGCGCGGTCGACCGATGCAAAACCCGAGAGCAGTTTCTCCTACAGGGTTTTGGAGGTCGACCGGGCCGGTCGACCGCGACCTGATCCAGGCCCTTCTGGCTTCTGTGCACGTTTGCGGTCGACCGACCCGGTCGACCGCAGATTAGCCTGCTCGTTTTTCTGCCCCTTTTTGATTCCAGTCTTCGTCTCGAACTTTGGGTCTACACCTTAGACTAACAGATTGTGCGCTTGCTTGCATTTACATCTTCCTGAACCCTCTCCATGAAGTCCGTAGAAGGCCTTTTCTTAGCCCACAGCAGCAAGAAGAACGCATCAATATATTAAATCTTACGATGGAACAAAACCAGACAAAAAAGTGCTATGATGAAAAATATATAGACCTAGCTGGCTTTCAGTTTCGTGCACACACAATATACGCACATTGGCATATACATGTTCATGCACAAAGGCACACACATCAATACACATAAAAGGTCACAAGAAGAAAAGGATCACCTCTGCTATCCGTAAATGTGTGTAAATATCACAAGCAAGTAGTGCACACAACTGGGGATCCTTGCTTGATGTACTAGTAGCTAGTTTCATAACAGAGGATGTAGCTGCAGAAATACGATGTAGCCCCCCGTCACGAGCAGAAGTAGCTGACCCCTTCTTCACAATAGAAGCTGCAGTAGATGTTGTATTCGCCTTCTATAGTAACCTCATGTCAGTTTATTTTTGACCGAAAACGCGGTCAATAAGAAAACAAAGCCTGACCAGTCTAATTTTCATTTATAATAAACTTCAATAAATATGATCGGATTAAGATTTTCCACGCACTAGGGTGAAAACCTTGAAAAAGGATAACAACAGGATGACTGTAACCTGTGTCTACTATTTTTTTTTTTGGGTGTGTGTGTGTGTGTTAACTAGCCGCCCTTTTTTTTACCCCAGCAGTCCTTTTTTGACGTTTGAGAAATCGGTGGCCGATTTCTTTGAAAATGAGAAAAAGGATGTGGGTCCCACAATTATTTATTATTAGTGGCGGGTTCCACTAATAATATTTTATTTGTGCATAGTATTTCCCAAACACTATAAATAGGGCCCTAAACTCTTAAGGAAAACTCAACCCAGAAACAACTCATCTCATAGAAGAGTAAGAGAGAAAACACAGAGAGAGTTTGTGAGAGTTCTTGGAGTGTATCTGATCAAGAGAGGGTGTTTTCTTTGATCTATTCTTTTGGGATATAAAAAAATTTGGCGTCGTCGTTGCACCATGGAATAGCTCCAAAGAAGTGAACTGCGTATATCTGTGAGTACTGTGATTGATTTTTTGTGCCTTTATTCTATGTATTACATCTCCGTTTGAGGCGTTATTGTTGGTGTGTACCTAACAACTGGTATCAGAGCCTGATTTAGAGTATATATATCTGCTTATCGTATGCTCTGTGGCTATCACTAAAAGTGGATCCTCCACATCAGAAAATAAGTTAGATTATTATTTACTCTTTTAAGGCACTGAGCACTATTCACGTGTACGACACTATTCACGTGTGCATTATTATTCACGAATATGATACTATTCACAAATACGCTTCGTGAAAGATGTAATCTTTCACAATGGGATCTACAGTTGAAGACAACAGGCTTCAATTTGAGAAATTCGGCGACCAAAATTTTAGGTATTGGAGGATGCAAATAGAAGATTATTTGTACTAGAAGGATCTCTTCCTACCCCTCCAAGGAGAGGTGGGAAAACCTGAGAAAATGGACGACGATAAGTGAAATGTGCTCGATCGTAAAGCACTTGCCACCATCAGGCTCAACCTTCACTAACATGTGACTTATAACGTCTTGCATACGACCACCACCAAGGAGTTGATGGAGGCCTTGGAGGCGCTGTATGAGAAGCTGTCTGCTTCAAATAAGGTGTACCAGATGAAGAAGCTATTCAATCTGAAGATGCAACAAGGAGCTCACGTGGCGGACTTCTTGAACGAATTTCAGACTGTTGTGCAACAGCTTGCTGCAGTAGATAGATGCAACTACTCTATCAGTATCTATTACATAGAGATTCAACAAAACAACACAACAAACCTACACACTGTATTTTTTTTTTCTTTACTAGAATCCATTTGATACAGATAAAACAACAACAAAGATGCAACGCCCTACTCTATGAGAGTTGTCAGACAGCTAATGCATATCATCCCTGTTATCCAAGCTTCTGATGGAAGTACAAAGACCATGTCACAGCTAGAATTTCCAACCACTTTAAATGAAGAAGTTATCTAGCACGTGTTACTTTGGTTTCTTCAAGGCTGAGTCTAGACTTAGCAATCAACTTGCTTGTTTTTAGTTCTTTTATTTTCCTTCGGGACATCACCGCAACATTTTTTAGATAGGGAAAGTGGGGGATTTACAGGTCCAACAAAGTAACTCTTAAAAATATCGAACTTCAAGGTATCAAACCATATAACAATAAGTTCACCGAACCTAACCAGGTTTCACTTAGTGATGCAGTCTTGGCCTACGTAAAAGGATTTGATCATGAGAAATATGGCCGAAAAGAGATTTTCTTTTTGGGAAACTTCCAGTATTTGACTCCTAATCAAAGAAAGATTTGGCCAATGTCTGATTGAATACTGATTAAGAGTTAAATTGATGTGGTTAATCAATTAGTTAGTCGATCAGGTTCCTGTTGTTGTCACAGTCATCACATAGCAAAGCTTCCTAATCCCTTCCTCTCATTCCGATAATAAGTTGCCAGATCATCTTCACTCCCTATCACATTAAGTTGTGTATTGGACAACACAACGTCGAGCATTTTCCCCACCATGGTGTAATTTGTTACAGAGCACTTCTCAAAGAGAGATCTAAAACTTCCATAATCAGTTATCTACTACAATAATCCTCTATGAACTAATACTGTATTCCATGAGGAAATTGACCCTTTTATGGCTAGTTTGCATACAATGAAGTACTACTCATTGTCTCATTCGATAAAAGCACAAGATCTTCCACATATGACACAATTCAATCGACATAAACCCTGCTAGAGTCTACAATGTAAGAAAAATCTAGGACTAGTAATTCATGTAGCACAGCAAAATCTTGAGGTTCCAGGAGATGCAAACCTAAAATAAGCTTTCCCCACAAGAATCTCATCGATACCAGCAAAACAAGATGCAATCACTACTCAAGCAGTAGAAACGAAGTCACAGAAAACAAAGACGTCCGCAAAACTCAAGAAAAACCCATTCCACAAAATCAAATCTTTAGCAGCAAAAAACAAAACTTGGGAGAAAATCATCTCACCTGGCCAGGGGTCAGAGGGCCGGCGACCACCATTTCCTCTGAATATCCAAGAACCGAATCAACCACCAAAACCCGATCAACAACAAGATTACGCCCAATATTTTCAAGGAGAAGAAAGAGAGGAGATTGGTGTACCTCAAAGGAAATGAGATCCGCGGCCTTTCGTCAGTTGGCGATGTGATTGAAACTTGAAGAACACGGGGGGAAATTGGTGGGAATTTAAATCAAAGAAAGAGGGGATCTGAAGCAACAACAACAGCAACAGCAATTTGGAGGGAGGGTTAAAAGTCGCAGTCTATTCACAAAAAAATAAAAAAAAGTAAAAGAGGAGAGAGAAAGATGTGAGAGAGAGAAGGGTGGGGGGGGGAGCAGTTGGGTTTGTTGGCACTTTGCCTTCGAGCTCTTCTACTCTCTCCTCTTCTCCCCATGTTTGCTATATCCACTCCCAAGCAGTAACTTTGAGAGTTGAATTTAGTTGGACCCCTTCTTCCTTAGTAAATTGTTGAATAATATAATAGTGTAATTGAGATTTATAATTTTAGAGAGACGGTGAGAGAGATTAGCTAATTATTATTTTTGGGGTGATAATGATAAGTTCGTGAAGCTGCCTTGATGGTGAGATCCATGTACGGTGCTGTTTGTAAGGAATCTGTGGGGGCTAATTGCAAATAGACTCATGTACCATCTCTATTGCAGATACACCCCCATGTACTTCTATTTATGCGAATAAACCACTGTAGACCCCATACGGCTAAATGAATTTTTCACTTTTTCAATTGTTAGAAAAATATTAGCAATTGTGTATCTATTCTTACCAATAAAACTATAGTAGGTCTACTTGCCTCCTCGATATTTTTTTTTTACCTCTTTCGTCGTTAAAAAAATCATTTAGGCTATTCCCACAAATAAAACTACGGAAGGCCTATTTGCAACTGGGCTAGTAAAGGGTTCGATCTGCAGCTAACCCATGATCATTGGTGATCCGAACCGGGTTCTTTTTGGATTTTGCTTACATCCTGGATGGAATTTTTTTTTCTTTTTCTTTTTTTTATACTTCTTTTATTTTATTTGTGTGATTCAAGTAAATGTCGTAATTCACGCACCGCGGGTGATTTATACGGTTAGAAGATCCTAATATGACTCCTGTCGGTCTTAGGATTCGATTGTACGGGTGGGCTATAAAATAAAAAGAAATTTATTGATTAATTGCTTTAAACTTTGATGTGTATGTTTATATTGCTTGCCCCAGATTTTTGGATGTTATTGCACTAACCCCCTTTTTCTCCCTTCTATAAGCAAGGGAAGAAGTCAAACCATTGCACTCAGTATTTCCTGTGAAAATAAATTACTAATTTATGTTGCTCGGTGCGCTGATCCATTCAGTGTTAGATAAAGGCAAAGAGATTAGCACTAAAATATCCCATAAGTTAAACTTTTCATGGTTTTAAATATCCTTTAGCTTCAACTACATTATCTGAAAGAACTAGGTCCATGGAAACAACTGAATCCAAGAATCATAGCATCTCTCTCTTCTATATATGATGATGATGCAAATACCATAATTTCATTGCCTAGGAAACGAATAATATCGTGTTAAATTTACTAAATAGCCATAATTTCAAATACCAATGTATTTTTCTATCCTGTAATCAAATGCTTTCCAAAAAAAATCATAGAAAAATCTTGGTTTGATAAACTACTATAAGAGATTCTTGTACATGGATGCACGTTGCCTAAACACTAGTAATTTAGCATTTTGGATTCCACTTGTTGATATAGAAATGAAAGGAAATCTCACTAAAGAGATCCACTTGAGCTGACTTCTTTCTCTTGCAGTATGCTTAGTTATTACAAGTCAATTGGCCTAAGTAAGCTGATGATCACATGGAAGGATCTTAATCATAATGTTATGTAGGTAGATTTCTATTATAATTCGTAAATTCCAGCACACAAATGTAATTTCTAATTTTCTATTGTACATTCGTGACATTTAAATGACATGACATAGTATACTTGGCTAAGATAATTCAGCCTTGAATCGATCCAAAATCAGGAGCCCTGCCGGAGTGAGGAGTCAGAGTCTGCAGGAGAGCGGCGAAGCCCTGCCGGATCGAGGAGTGAGAGGTCTTCATCAACAACCCTTCGTTCACCCCCTTCTGTCCTTGGTATTTCCCTTCGCAGGCGATACCGAGAAGAGCTACTATCTCGTTTAACCGAGATATACGCTTTACACTTCTAGATCTCACGCGGATCGACGAAGTTCTGCTTCTATATCCCACGCGGATAGACGAAGCTCTGCCGGATTTTCCCGGAAGGATCTTGAAGAGTCGGCGGTCCACGGATATCAACATCCCCGTCACAGGCAAAAGACCCACGCAAGCAAGAGATGACAAACAGATCTTGCGTTTGTTTGAAAAGAGTTGTATCTATTTTGTTTTCATTGTGTACCGGTCTTATAAAAAGGCTATCTCTTTATTTCATTGTAACGATTGAAGTTGTAATGAATGCAGCAATGAATACAGCAACTTTTTCCGCAATGAATAGAGGTCAAGGGACTAGCTATATCGTATAGACCTGATATAAAAATAAAATTTAAAAGAAAAAAAAAAAAAGAGAAAAAAGGGGATTAGATCCCGCAAACAGTGCACAATTTGATGCAAAATAGTATCATCCTTGTATATTTAGTTCATGATGCAAACTGGCGATAGAGGCTGCTTGGTATTCAGCAATAGTAAATAGAACAAATGTCGCTTGTGCAAAATGTTGCTTGCAGAAATTAGCTTCAAATTTACATGTCAAACATGCTATATTCACTTTATAGCATCAAGACAGTAAGATAGTTTATGATAAGATCTAGTAAACCATAAGGGAGCAAGATCATCTATTGTAAGATTGAAGACACTCTTTAATCAATCATCAATAAGATCAAGCTGCTAAAGAAAGCCAAGTTATTTGTAAACCATAAGAATTGCATACAACCATTTCTTTCTTTCTTTTTTCGTTTTATCATATTGCATCCTAGACTGAGAGAAGCAAGAACCACAATGTACATGATTTGAGAGGAACAGCATAAGAAGAACTAGGCTGCTTCAGTCCTAGCCAGTTTTAAGAGTTCGCCAAACACACCATTAGCCTTGAGGGTTTGCGGCATTTGGAACATTGTATCTGGGGACTTCTCCATTCATCACTCTCCAAGGACCCCAATAGAACTTCGGGGGCATAATGGGTACCAATTCTCCTGGATGCTCTTCCCAGTACTTTTCCTGTTAGATTGACAAAAGGAGAGAGAGTTTAGACCTTTTAACCATGCTAAATGGTGAGCAAATATGATAACTGTAATTCAGTGTTCATGACATGGAAAAACGAAGAGACCGCATATTGAGATCGAATCAGACAATTCCAGATGACAAATAGATTGCTGACTGATTCATTGCTCAATGTCTGTTGAAAATTTTTACAACATAATGTTTGTTTTCAAATATTGGTTTGTCTATTTCAGTCTTGCAGCACTCCTTTGTTTGTAATGTGGATCTAATTCATGCATCTGTGTCATCTGCCAATATCCATATAGGTTGCTCTTTGCTAGAAGACTATTCCCCCCATGCTGCCTCCCCCTCTAATGGCATTCTAGTGTCGGGCCCAATTATAGTCTCATATCAAGTTTCGGGAGTCAAAGTGGGTGTATTAAAGATTTTGTGTTCTCTCCCTCAGCCAGCTCGCTTTTAGAGGTGAATTCTATTGGGTCTCTAACAAATAATATCATAGTCACCCTCGTCTTCCCAATTGCAAGCAAGCAGGGGGTGGTGACGCTGGCATTCCAGTGTTCCTCTTGGACTTGTCTAGTACAAAGCCAAAAGGATGACAGGGCGACTGTAGAGTTTGACCGGTACTGAACTAGTGCAACGCCAGTTCACGTAGACACCAAGACTACATAAGGGTGGTGGTATACTAGGGTTCATTTAATCCTGCGTTGACTTACTGATGAGTCATGTGAGTTTATTAGACATTTGAAATCTCTATACATCAGCTAGCTTTTCGGATAAGTTATATTGTGTCCCTAAAAACGGTCACTTGATGCACGAGCACGATCGATCACATCACTGATTCCAAATCTCTACCGAATATTGATTGTTGAAAAGTCTCTTTCCAAAAAATTTAATTGCTTGGGCAAAAATATCATACAATAGTTGTTCTTCGCACACTACCTAGAGACAGCCTCACTCCCTTACCTCAATAAACTAAATCCTATCAGAAGTTACGCATCAACAACAGGATACACAGTTGATAGGCCACAATCTTAATGTGTGATCCTAAGCATGGAAATCATAGCCAATCTGGAGAGGGGGAAAAAATTCTCCATACTCTATGGAAATTTTATATAGATTTACAATTCATACCCATACTTCCGTTCTGCCATTTTGAAATTCAAGATAACTGCATTCTAGAGCCATGAGCTCTCATCGAATGATTACCCAAAACAAGGAGGCGGTTACAAGAACGTTGACATCATACTCATGCTTTATGTAAGGGTCAATAGCCTAATTACTGAGCGACTATAACAAAATAAATGCAGTCAATGTGTGGTCAAGCATACATTAAGGGGGTGTTTGTTTCAACTTTTTTTTTTGGGATATAGGGTAGATTACAAATTCTAGGATGAATAAGTGGGTTTTTTTGAGTTTATGGATTTCATAACCTTTGCTTGATTCAAAATAAATTTTGGGATATTGAATACCCAAATAATAAAAAACTAATATATTATAGCATTTGTAATAAATTTTGGGATATTGAATACCCAAATAATAAAAAACTAATATATTATAGCATTTGTGAAATCCCCTCTTTGAGAGACAAATAATAAAAAACTAATATATTATAGCATTTGTGAAATCCCCTCTTTGAGAGAGGATTTAGGCTAGATCTCTCCCAACCCATGTCCAGCTCATCAAGCTTTACACTGATATCCTGAATTAGTTTCCTAGGGTCACCGCTTTCGTCCCCCTCCTCTTTTACCTGCCATCTCATTTTCATCGCGAAAACCCTAGATCTCGTTCTCTCCTCTCCTCCTCTGCGACGCCACCCCCTCCCTCCTCTCCGCCCTCAACCTCACCGTGCTCCGCCTCCTCCTCAGCGTCCCCAACTCCCATCTCCACCGCTCTGCCTCTCCTTAACTCTCCCTAACGTTTTGGGGTAAATTGATTTGGGGTTTCTGTTGTTTCAACCGAACTTCTTTCCGACCGAACTTCTCTCTGACCGAATCCTCATCGGTAGGTAAATCTCGTTCCCTTTCTTTGTAAATTAGGGTTTCTTTGTAATTTTGAGGTTTGGTGAAAATGATTTGGGGGATTTTGTGAAATTGATTTAGGGGTTATATATGAAATTGAGTTGGGTTTGGTGAAATTGGTTCTGCACAATTATTAGTCTGTGAAATTGATTTGGATTTGGGGACGAAATTGTTCTCGTTCCATTGCATGAAAATAACTAGGATATTCTTATCTGCGCACTTGTAAGATTAGTTTGAATTCTCGTTTCATTGATTAGTCTGTTAAATTGATTTTGAGTTCATGTTCATTACCTGCGCACTTATAAGATTAGTTTGAATTTCGTATACTATTTTAGGACTTCAATATGCAGTTTCATTAGCTCATCTCTTCAGTTCTATAAACAATTATCTGCATCCGAGCACTTGAACATTGTTGATTACTTAACTCCTTAAATTTTTGAGTTAAATACTTAGTTGATCTTTGTGGACCAAACTCAGTTCTATAAAAAGATTAATTAAGTAACAATTAGATTCTTATCTTTGTATTATCATCTAATATTTGTCTTAGTGAATACAAGACAATGTATCATATTTTTGAATGAAATTTCTTTTTGAAACAATGTAAATGGACGACATTGATGAAGAGATGTTAATGAGGATGGCTTCTAATGCTACTATCTCTGCGGTGATTTGTGTGTTTGCTTGTTTAATAAGGATACATAGTAGAAGGAAATCAATCACGTATCACCCAAAGGTGGAAAAAAAAAGAGAAGATAGATTCTAGAGCTAAGCAAATAAGTCGTGTGTTCAATGGCTATAATGAGAGTTGTAAGGCTTATGTTAGAATGAAACCGCGTGCATTTGAGCTTGTGGGTTTGTGAATTGTGAGTTTGAGCTTGGTTGCTTGTTTGAGCCTTAGTTATTTGAGTTTGAGCTTGTTTTTTATGGCTTGCGAGCTTGTGGGTTTGTGGCAGCCTATTACTATGCTGGTTGTTTCAATTTCAATTTGTCATTGAGCTTGGTTGCTTGTTTGTGATGGATTTGCAGGTTTCTGGCAGGTTTGAGCTTGTGGGTTTGTGAGTTTGAGCTTGGTTACTTGTCTGAGCCTTGGTTATTTGAGTTTGAGCTTGTTTTTGAGCTTTGTAGGTTTGTTGTTGGTCTGGTCTGCTTGCAGGTTTGTTACAAGCTTAAAAATGTTGCAAAATTCATTTAGGGTTTTTTTTTTTTAAGCTAGTGATCTTTGATTGGAAATTCTAGGATGAAAAAGTGGGGTTTTTGAGTTTTTCGGATTTAGTTATGATGATTGGTCACATATTGATAATGCCAACTACAATAGGATTTTATCGTTTACAGGAGGCGTTCATTAATAAAAATACAGTCTAGATTGCTTTTGTAATTTTTAGATGAGGCAGTCCATTATTTGAACGCAATGTACAATGCAATTTCATTATATAGGTGTTGAAAAAAATAACCCTTTTCTGAGCCTCTATATTATCATTTATTTTTACATTTTTTTTATTTACATTGTCTCGAGTTAGTTTATGACTGTTTATAATTGTTGGAGTATAAATTTGAATAGTTTTGATTACCCCAATTGAATACAATTGTATTTGTTTTTTTGTGGGAGGTAAGCTCACCAAAGGTTCTTATATTCACCAATCATTATTTTGTTAATCCTAAATTTTATTTGCTACCACTATAGATTTCAAATTCTAAAATTTATAATGCTACAATTTGAGTTTGAAACAAACAAAATATTACAAATTATAGTATTACATATCCTAAAATATTGATGAAACAAACAACATTTTAGAAATCCCAACCCATGTTAAAAAACATACGGGTTTTAAATCCCATGATGAAATCCATATCCTAAAATTATAGGATTTGAAACAAACACCCCCTAAGTTTATCCCATGGATTTTTGACTTTATTTGGACATGAACTTGGGTATATATTAGTCAATTGAAATCTGATGATACAGTGTAACTCGTTGACTTTATTTGGACATGAACTTGGGTATATATTAGTCAATTGAAATCTGATGATACAGTGTAACTCGGCATACATTCTTATGGTCTTGCTTGTAATTAGTTTAAACCCGAGATGGAAATGTCTAGTTTGAAAAAAAAAAAGCCATGACACTCTTGCACCATTTCAATGAACGACTAACAATTAACAATACGTTCAAAACAACGCGACAAACGTTACGTTGAATACCTTGTAGAGTTGCTCAGTGATGGCAGATCCAACAACTCCGCTATAAAATGCAGCAACATAAACAGATACGAGAGGCGTAAATGACTTAGGACGCCTATAGGGTTCGATCATATCCCATAGCACAGTCTTCTCCCACTTGTAAAACTCTCTTTCTGCATACATCCTCCATAATCTACTCGTCATTTTCGCAAACTGAAGTCACACGGTTAAACAAACAAAACAAATAAGAAATGCTAAATACTAAAACACAAGACACAATTAACTATGTTTCATTACATGTAGCCCATAATGCATAGCTGAACTATACGCTGATTGCTAAGATAACATGGAACTATGAGGACTTTGAAAAAAAATTAACATATACAATAAGTTACATTTGACCAAACAAATTACTATACTACCCAAACAATTTTTACAAATTGTGTTTTGGTTTTGTTGGAGGGGGGGATCAAATCCAACTGTAAGCACATACAAATTAGGGGAATCTTAACAATGAACTCGTGTGGAGGAGGTGATGAAGGGAAGAGAAAAACATGAGAAGATTAAGTGAAAGAAGAGGCTCACCAGAGGCGGTGGCCACGACTACCGGAAGATGTCGGCACGATTACCGGATGCGGTTGGTGACGACTACCAGAGGCCGTGAAGACTTCTGATGATGTGGAGAAGACGATCTGAAACGACAACCCTAACCTTAAAACATCTTTTTGGTATTTTTACAAATCCATTTATTTTTGGCTAGGCCATTCTTGAGCCCAAAACAAACACATGGGTGCCCAAAAAGTCTGTTTAGCTTTTTGATCAAAACGACAACTACCACCACCACCGAAGCGCCTCTTTAGGTTTCCTTTGGATACCATGGTTTTTCCTTATTTTCATAGTGTTTTTATCAAAAATAAAATACCATACATTTAAAAATCATGATGCTTTTTGAGCTAAATCATACTCAAACTAAAAACACTAAAAACACAACACTTCTTTCAAAACACCTTTTAGGTGTTTTAAGTTTGGTGTTTTTGTTTTGAGTTTGAGGAGGTGTTAATATTATATCTAACATTTAATATATAGTTATTATTGACATCCTTCTTATATTATATTATATTATATTATATCTAATATATTAGTACTATTTATTAAATACTATAAAAATAAAATAATTAAAATATCTTATACAATAATATAATAACATATTAAATACTAGCATTTAATATGTTGATAATATATTACGTAATAATAAATAATAATATATAAATAAACTAATACAAAATAATAAAAAAGTTATTGATAACGAGTAATAATATAATAATGATATAATAGAATACTATACGATATTATGATCACTGTACTATTACTAACTTTTTAATAAATAAATTGTAATAAATTATAATAAATTAATGATTATAAAATATTATATAATAGTAGCATGTTAATAAAAAACAATAATAGAATAGTAATATTATAATTACATATTATATAGTAAATGTAATATAATATATAAAATGTTAATATATTATATAATAAATAGTATAATATATCATAAAGTAAAATGATTTTTAATACTAAAATAATTTATTGCTCACAAATGTTAATGTAAAAATAATATATTCATAATATAATAATATCTATTTATATCATAAATTACTAATATATTATTAAAGTATTATTAATAAACTCTAACATATTAGAAACTATAATATATTATATAATATTAAATATTTATAATATATTAATTTATTAATGATATACTTGTAATAACCTAATATTAACATTATTAATAATATTACATTATATTAATAATAGTCTAATATTATGTAAATAATAAAATAATATTATTTTAAAAATGTTATATAACATATAACCAGTGTTATCGAGGCGCAAGGCGCAAGGCGCAAGGCGGGGCGCAAAGGTCCCTTACGCGCACCATGCGCAAAGCGCACAACGATGCGCGCGCCTCACTAATTGAGGCGCATAACTCAAACTAATATTTGCCAATATCATAAGACAGGAATATATAAGCAACATATTAGTTACCTACATTTAAAATTATGAGAATATCAACTTAAATCATTAAATTATGCTAACTGAATTTTTAAAGTAACAAAAAAAGATACAAGAAGCATGTATTTAAATCATCAAATTAAGTGATTAACAATTATGAGCATATGTTTATAAATTGTCACATAAAAGACTAAGAAATATAATTAACAAACATGACTGTTCATAATTTTCTAGTTAGTATCCTTGATTAATATTTGCTACTTAGCATGAAAAGATGAAGAATGAATGTAACAATTACATATTTACATGTTCATAATTTGCTAGTTAGCATGCTAATTAGAGAAAAAATTACAATTAGCAAAAAAGTATACTAAATTACTAATTATTATTTCCTTTTTATAGGTTAAACATGAAAAGATGAAAATAGATTAGCAACTAGTAAGAAATAGTATATTACATGATCTTTTTATAGGTTAAACATGAAAAGATGAAAATAGATTAGCAACTAGTAAGAAATAGTATATTACATGATATAAATATGTAATTATGTAGATTAGCAACTAGTAAGAAATAGTATATTACATGATATAAATATGTAATTATGTAAATTATTTAAAAAAATAGAAGAAATAGTATGTTACATAACGCAGGTGCGAGGCTGTAATAATCCATTTTTTTTGTAGCAAATCAATAAATTAAATTGGGTAAACATGCAAGGCCTTATAAATGAGGCCCACATCATGTTAGAAAAAAAAAACAAAACAATCAAAAGCCCATTAGTGTTTACCTAGAAAGCCCATCTCCACCTTCCCCTTTTGATTCTTCTTTCACGTGAGATTTGAGAGAGATATTTTCAAAAATATCTTTTAAGTTTAACTAACCTATATAAATAAATAAATAAAATCCTAGAAAAAAATCTCTAACCATCTAACCACATGATCTCTGTACAATCTATATTTAATCCTAACTCCCTCCACTAATTTCCTCCTAAATCCTCCACAAATCCCTCAACTAACTTCCCCTTATCTCCTCACTAAACAAATTCCTCCACTAATCCCTCCCTTCAAAACCCCACTTCCAAAATCTTGCTTCACGGAAAGAAAAAAAAGGGGAAAGAGACTTCTCACGGGAAAAGAGAGGGAGAGAAAAAAAAAGAAGGAAAAAGTGAGGGGAGTTCGGCTATTTGAGGAGAAGAAATTTGTTTGGTGTTCACGTTCTCGGTGCTAATCGGCAAGCATCCTTTTCCTTGATCATTATTATTATTACTTGGATTTTTTTCCCTCATGCAAGCATTTCTTATCCAATTCTTTATTTTTCATGATCACCTTATTTTTTTTCAAAATCGGCAAGTATATTTTTTTTCTTGCTTTTTTTGTGTCGAATTCTTTCTTTAATTCATATGACGGTTTTAATTTCAAGAATAAATATCCTATTTGTTAAAGACATTAGTCCTCTTCAAGTCCATACGTAGGTTAAGTCTATGTCCTAGAATATACTAATTCAGTATTGTTTATTTTTTTTTCATTGCTTGTAGAAATATTACACATAATCTCACACAAGAACCCTCGATCATCTTTATTCCTGATTTTTTTAGTTATTTTTCTTTCGTCGGTATCTGTTCTAGTTCTTCGTCCTAATTTCTCTGACATTAAGGTTCTTCATGTTTTTTTTTCCGATATCTCTTAGTGAAGGGTTCAACTCTAATGGAAATTCATTTCTTATCCTGAACGCCCTCTTTGGCCTAGTTTAAGATGGAATGAAATCAGTCCATGAGTCAATATAAATTTGGTTCTATCTTACCCAAGTTCCTTCACCTTTAAATAGATCACATTCAATTATTTGCAAATAGAGGTCATGAACTCTACAAGCAATGTTTTATTTCTCCCTATGACCTATATGTTTTTTTTAGCATTGGAAACTTATGACAAGATGGTCAAGCTTTGTGCAAGTGATCTAAAACAAGAACGTGTGATTGAGAAATCCTTTATTCAACAATTAGCACTAACTATGCCCACCTGATGTAGTTGGTGTCCTTCTTACTCTGAGAGATTAGTGCTCATATCACTAAGGAAAGATATATTAATTAAATATGAATAAATCTAAATCCAGTTAGCCAGTTTTCTGGATGGGTTGAGATGTCAATTGTTGGCCACAAGGAAAATTAGTCAGGGAGCCATTGGTTTATACTCATATTATTAAGAATAATGCCTTGTTTTAACATTTTGTATTTAAGTGGGAACATTGGGAAGTGTTAAGGATTGCTTAGCAATTGATAGCCAAAAATTTGTTAAAATATATTATTCATGTGCGACATCTTAATCAGGCCAGATGCTGGAGTTTTTGAGGGTATCTGAATAATCATGTGACTAATTCTTCGATTGAGATATTAGAATAGAAACAGTTATGCACACAAAGTTTTCCCTAGCGTATCCGTGTCAAAATCTAGCATATCAACTTTAGGTTGTTACATAACCTAAATTTAACTTAAAACAATTACCTATGCTTTAGTGTTATCTCAAGACCTTGACTTCATATTTAATCAGACATTAGTTAACACAGGAGACTAAACCGAGTGTAACATTTAATTCATCTGGCTTTTGATTTTTTCTTCGAAAGCGGTATTATGGAATAATTGAAGCTTTACACTTATATATTATTTTGTTGTTCTATAACTTGTATGAAACTATTACTTTATGGAAACCAATCATGTTTGGAGAGTTCATGTTTTACATAATATTGTACTATCAAGTGCCTAAATGGGCAAGATATGTCTGGTATTGGTAATATAGATCACCTGAAATGCCATGGTTAGATTAAAACCTGGGTTATACATATAGTACTTATCTTGTTTGATACTGTAATTGACATGCATGTCTTTATGGAAAATTGTTTCTTGTCACCTGGTTGTTATCCAATAGGAGAGACTGTGCATGAAGACGACTCCTGTTAAAAATATGATTTATAAGTGTGCTTTTATAGCATGGCTATGCTCTCGATATCGACATCCCGATATGAGATTTTTCCTTGGCTATTACTATTATAGCATCGACTAGGCGATACACCCGTCTTGATTAAACATGTTCTGGGTCACGGTTATTTTTATAGTTTTACAGAAATCGTTCCACGGTAACTCTGTGGTTAGTGTACAATATTTCATGCACAGTCACTTAAAAATTTAATCGACAAACATGGGGTTCATAAAGGGGAATTAGACGGAGAATATAACATGTATATAAACGGGCATATGCGCATTCCTGATATCCTGAGTTATATATACATGGGCCAAAGAGCCAATTCCTGACTTGAAGCCATGTTCCCGGGACGGTTTATGGGGAACCAATTTATATACATGAAAATATTCTTCTCTAATTCAAATAACATGTAAAATAAGAATAATGTGCTTATATGCTTTGTGATAGATTTGGCAGGCACGACATGTCCTGGATGAGGTTTTGGTGATGTATATTTGTATTGTTTGTTTATAGAATTTTGGGAGTTAATATTTAGCGATTTATAATTTGAGATATATGGTATATATGATGGTTTCCTTGTTTGGATTATTCCCTCGACGTACTCATCTTGTATTGTGAGTTTCTAAATTTTAACTCCTTTTAGTATAGGGTATAAGATATGTGCTTGAGGTAGACCATGATTGTTATCTACAATTAGCAATTTCCCTCGTCAACTTTAATTGAGTTTTCATCTTATTTTGATTTATAATATTAGTATTTTCTTTTATCACTGGAAATTTAGAATTTCTCTTTTCTTTATATCTACCACTTATACTTACACACGCATAATTTCCTCATTTTACATGCTTGCTGGGAGTTTTCTGACTCTCCTGGGGTTTGCATGCCCCAGACTCGGGAATTGTTCTTTCTTCGCAGGACCAAGAGTACTTTAAGGATTAAGACCAGTGACAGTGATCACCTTCTCTCTCTTCACTCTCTCAGCTTCAGTTATTGAGTCTTTCTTGTAATCACTTGTGGTATTCCAGACTAAGATGTATTTTTCCTCTTTCCTACTTTGAAAAGTTGTGGACATGTAAGAGAAATTATCTTTTCAGAGTTTCTTTATCTATCTCGTTCCTTTGTTATTTTAGTTGCATGCTCTATGTAATAGTTCTTTTAGCAATATATCTGTATACAGGATGATCCAGAGGCGTGAATGTAATCGTATGGTTGCATTACCGACCGAGTCATGCTCCAAATTATCACGTTTTGGACCCGGGACGTGACAGAGGCGCACGTGAAGTGCACGCGAGCTCACATAGTTTTTTTTGTTAACATTATAATCGAGTCTTTATACTTGATATTCCATATCCCAAAAAACAAAATAAATCCATTGTGCTTTTTTAATAACCTTCAATTGAGGACCATTACTAATCCTTAGTTTGGATATAAGTCTTGATTTAACATTTGATTTGAAAATTTATGAAATTTGCTACTATGTTGGGTGTTAGCATTAGAAATTAAGGCAATATATTGTGATTTTGTAGCAAGATATTATTTATCATGATATTTTTTATGTAAATTCTAAAAATATGTTCTCTCGTGCTTGATTACATATATTGAAATATTATGTGTGTGGTGTGCGCCTCGCATCACTCGGGCGCGCGCATCGCGTTACGCCTTGCGCATGTGCGCGTAAAGATGCTTTGCGCCTCGCATTGCGCCTCGCGCATTGAAAACACTGAGCCTACATATAACAATAACAAATTGCTATAATTAAGTATATAATTATTTGAAAATAATATATAATAATTATAATATAATATAACACATTAAAGTACAATATAATATTATAGTACATTATGCAATATTATATTGTATGATATTTAATATTTATAATACTATAATAATATAGACTAATTATTATAAAATGTTTATTTATAATATATTTTATTATAATTAATATAAAATATATTAATAATATGTTTAATACTATTATTGTAACAGGTCAAACTAGTATTGACCAAAAACACTCAACATGGTGTTTTAAAAACACTTTAAAGAGAAAACACAACACCATAGTATTTTTTGTAAAAATACAAGGAAAATATCATAGTATCCAGACGAAGCCTAAATTTCCAAAATTAAAATTGGTAATTTTTTATATGATGTACCATATTGACATTTTAGAAATAAGAATTTTCAATCAATTTAGCGTGTCTTTTATTTATGTATCAAGGGATAAAAGAATCATTTGATTTTATAAAAATTAATAGCATAATATTACTTGAGCACAGTGAATTGACCTGAATAATTGAAATGTTTCAATGTGTCTCCCATGATCTTCCCTAAACGTGAAAAACAAATGAGAGAAAACGACCCCACCATGCGTTCTGTTCTGTTCATCTGTCCCCCACGGTCTCAATTCCACACATGTCGCCCCGCTCCCTTGCACCCTCACGGGTACAAGAGTCCAACGCGCACATGCGAAATGCATGTAGCAGCCCAAAAGAAGAAGCGTGTCAAAGTGTGGCACACTCCTGTATGGGCCAATCATCATAAGCTCTTGTTTTGTTCTATGGGTGTAAGTATCGCATCATTGAGTCAGATATTTTCTTTCTTGCCCAATAAGTTGTCTTTATTCCTTATGACCATAAGGTCATGAGTGCATGCATTGAGATGCTATAAATCACGTAGTTGAGAGGGAATGTGTAAAGAAGATTTTCACCGTTTTCCTTTGTGATAATAGGTTAGTAAATAGGAGTTGCTCGTAACTCCCCCCCCCCCTAAACATTTTGGTTCAGTATGGAAGAATGTGATAAATGGTCTGTTAAATATGTCCAAGGGATTTAACGAGGTTGAACAAATCACTATGACTATCCATGAGCACAATCGGGCCATGATTCCACCAATAATGAATGAGTGATTATTATATTTAATCCCTCAAACTTTAATTTCACATCTCTCTCTATTGTCTCTATTTTTCCTTTTTTTTGGACACCCAAAAATGATAGCCAGTTGAAGCTGCATATTTTTGTCATAGGGTTAATATCTGCAGTTAATATATGCAGAGTCAAAATTACCCTCATCATGCAACCATAACATTCCAATGTTTGCTCAACGGGACCTTCATCAATGGGTCATAAGAAAGTGGATAAATCAAATTTGAAGAGACCAATAAATGAAAAATTCATGTGAGCATCAAATTTTTTGGTGTTATTATGAATGCACACAAGCTTATAGAGAATTTCGATCAATTAAAATCCCACCGTTTGCTTGAATGGGGCTGGTGACTTGCTAGCTCCCAACCACTCAATCAACTCCATCGGGGTTCTTAACTCTAGAAGTTGACAGCTCTCAGCCTAACCCCTAGCCTTAATTAAACTAGTACAAGGCAGAAAAATACCAAACTTACATAGTAGAAGAGTTGCTATATATGACACAAACACAGGTGGATAAGCATAATAATCTTAAAGAAATATCCACCTTTTTAACTGTAAATTCTCTTCTATTCGTATTAGCTATCATAGCAAGAAAATTGGTGGCCTAAATTTCTGCTTAATTACCAAATGCTAAGACTGAACCATGTATAAATTTACGTGGCTTGTATCTCAAACCTCTCTGAAAGAATTTGAACCTGAACGATTGTTGTACTGACTAAGGCTTCCTTTGACAAGCGAAACAGGAAAACATAACTGTGACGTTATGCAAGGCTAAGAGAGCTGACACTGCTCAAATTTCAGTCCAAACAAGAAGAATAAAGTACCAATTCATGGAGGAGAACGGTGCGTGAGTCAAAGAGCAGAAATATGCTACTAACACAAACAGTAAGTGCCATTACAGTCGTTCATTTCTGTAACTAGCTTTTGTCATCTCAAATCCTAGAAACATGCCTTTGTTTTTATCTGCTTTACTCATTAATCACTATCCTATAGTTTTTCTTGAGTCTGACTTGTTTAGAAGTGAATAAAAGGGAGGGTGGAAGTTCTCTTTTTAAATTGCCCTCCGATCATAATAATAATTGTTTTACCCTTTTAATTGCTCTCATCTAAATTTATTTTTACTTCACTATAATTTTCAGACATAAATTTAGATTATTCAAAAATATTGTTCTTCAGAAATGATCAAATCTTTTTAGGGGTAAAAATCTGACCTGAGGACCTCTGTGACGCCGACAATCTTCTGTAGCTTAGGAATCAAGCTTCGCCAAGGACTTAGAAATCACGGCGGAAAATAGGAGCGGCAGCGGCGGCGATCTCCGGGCGGCGGAAAAGAGGGGAAAGAGCGGCGTGGCTGCAGTTCAGGGCGGCGAAGGATAGGGTTTTGAGGGGAGAGAGCGGCGGCGTCGGTGGGGATCTCCGAGCGTCGGTGGCGGGGATCTCTGAGCGGGCGGGCGAAGGCGTTCAGCTCTGATTTGGGGGGTTTTTTTGACGAAGGGAGAACAGCGAAGAGAGCGCGGTGCGGTTTTGGAGGGGTAGAGAGCGGCGGCAGCGGTGGCGATCTCCGAAGCGCGGTTGCGGGGATCTCTGGCGGCGCGCCAAAGGGTGGCAGCTCTCGGGGATCTCTGATTTGGGGGTTTCTTATGAAAGGGGGGACGCAGGAGTACTCACGGGGGGGCTTTTGTGATTTTTTTCCCTTTTTTTTGGTAAAAAAGGGAGGGAAAATTCCCTGCATTTGTGAAAGGGGTGTTGCTACAGGGACTCCAAAATAGGACATTCCTGAGGGGACAAGTGAGGTGTCAACTCCTAGGGGCTTGATGCACTGTTCATAACAGTGGGCAGGGCCGGCCCTGGGGTAAGCCCACCAAGCCCCGGGGCTGGGGCAACCCAGGGCCGGGGGCAACCCAGGGGGAGGTCGTCGTCTTCCTGGTCGCCGTCTCCGTCCTCTTCCTGGTCGCTTCCTGATCGCCGCTACCGCCTTCTACTTCAGCAAGCATTTTTCAGATGGTGAATACGACTCACTACCCCCAACGACGCCATCCCCTTGTTGCCTATGACTCTTTTGGGCTTGGGTTTTGGGGTTATTTTCGAGCTTGCCACCGAGTCGAATCTTTCTGCCTTTTTCGGGGCACATTCTACGAGGATAGTGCGGTTGGTAGAATTGTAATTATGGCGGGGGTCGTGGGCGGTATTTGTGAAACTTGATAGATTTATGTATATAGTTTACGCGGCTGTACGATTTCTTGTGTAGTAACATACTTAAATTTAAACGAACTGGCTTTTTAATAGTACGTATATTACGATAATGCACCCCTGACATGGGCCATTTACGAGGCACGTGCGTTCGCTAGCTTTTTCTTGACAAAGAGTTTTTTATCGTTGCTTTTTTATTATGCTCTTTGTGGTGCTGCTACTACGACAAGCAAGCTGGCTCCCCTAGATTCGAGAGAGCGCTTTTATTTTTTGAACACAAATAGGGAGTGAGGTATTTGTTGGTGAGGTAATGTGGAAAAAAAATTAAAGTAAATCTCAATCCTCTCTTTCTTTAGGAGGTTAAAGTTTGAGTTAACGGTCTAATATGAAAAGTTTAAGATGAACAAATACCTCACTAATTATCGTTGCAAGTAAACTCATGTCTTTTCTTCTTTTTTCCAATATTGAGATGAACAAATACCTCACTAATTATCGTTGCAAGTAAACTCATGTCTTTTCTTCTTTTTTCCAATATTGTGCAGGTTGTGAGTCCAACGTCAGGGCCCTCCTCAGGCTCCGGCACCAAGTGGTGCGTACCGAAACCCGATGTAACCGAGGCCTCCCTCCAATCGAACATCGACTATGTGTGCAGCACGGGCCTAGTCGACAGCAAGTAGATTCAGGGCGACGGATCCTGCTTCCTCCCCCAACACTCTGCAGAACCACGCGACATTCGTCAAAGGAGGGGAGGTCGACGTGGAGGGGAGGTTGTCGTGGGGCAACCCGGCCGACCCAGGACCGGGGCTGGGGCTAGGGCAACCCAAACCTCGGGGCCGGCCCTGCAGTGGGGACTGACACCTCACCTGTCCCCTCAGGGGTCTCCTATTTTGGAGTCCCTATAGCAACATCATTTGTGAAAATATTAGGTTCAACGGTTGGAACACTTGGGCTGCTAAAAGTTGACTCAACGGTTCCGACCACTTGTTGAGACCGGTAACTTTTATACTAGTGGATCGAGCAAACTGCACCTTTACAGTCGGGATGCAATTATATAAGGAATTAATTCTAAATTTTGTAATCTATGTAAATGAATTTGCACATAAAATATTGTTAATAGACTACTTTTTTTTATAATATAGTAATCTTAGTAACATTTTGTTAATATCAATAAATTTAGCTCCGGATATTTTCTCGGCAAAAGGAGATAGACAATACCACAACTAACACCAACAGCTATAAATGCATGTAACAACTACATAGTACGTATAGCAATTTGCATACCCTCCCACATGTGGGTAACTCCACAACTAATGGTTGCCAACATGAGGCGCCGCATGAAGAAGCATGCCGTCGCGTGTGGGCCCTCGAGGCACGAGGTGTTGTGAGCGAGTTGGCTTCAACAACGCTCGCTATGCCCTCAATCATTTATATTTCCTAGATTGAATGTCATCTTGGGGCTGTTTGGTTTGTCGATTGATCTTAATGTATGTAATGAATTTTGTAAAACCCGTAACTGAAAATTTGTTTATTAATCATATCATTTCATATCATCATATCATATATATATATATATATATATATATATATAGTTAACACCTCAATGTCTCAAAAATTATAGAAACACCCTCAAAAGTTTAAATTACAGACAAGCACATTAAAATTCTAAAATTTTAAAACTTACAAACAACACAGATGAATTCAAGAGATTACTATGATCATACTCTCTTTAAAAGCACGAGTTCGGAAAATCTTTTTTAGACAAATATACCCCTTTATAGTTTGAACTACCTTATCTATAATCAAATTCTAATTTTCAATGGTCAATATTACCCTTCACTATTTTGAATATTTTATTTATATCTTAATCTATCCTAATCATAATCATATCTTATCCTAATCCTATGTGAACCATGTTTAGCTTAACAATTTAAAAAAACTAATATTAATAAAATATATAAAACATAAAAATGATATTAGTTTGTTAAGATAAAGAAATTACAAGTAGATAACATATTATAATATATGAAGTATTGAAAAAAAAACCATAAAAAGTTTTAAAATTGTAGAAAAGACCCTGAAAAGTTTAAAATTATAAAAATCATCCCAATGTCTCAAAACTTAAAATAAAAAACATGAAATTAAAAAATTAACATCAGTTTGCAAAGAATTTAAAATTTACAGTTAACACCTCAATGTCTCAAAAATTATAGAAACACCCTCAAAAGTTTAAATTACAGACAAGCACATTAAAATTCTAAAATTTTAAAACTTACAAACAACACAGATGAATTCAAGAGATTACTATGATCATACTCTCTTTAAAAGCACGAGTTCGGAAAATCTTTTTTAGACATATATACCCCTTTATAGTTTGAACTACCTTATCTATAATCAAATTCTAATTTTTAATGGTCAATATTACCCTTCACTATTTTGAATATTTTATTTATATCTTAATCTATCCTAATCATAATCATATCTTATCCTAATCCTATGTGAACCATGTTTAGCTTAACAATTTAAAAAAACTAATATTAATAAAATATATAAAACATAAAAATGATATTAGTTTGTTAAGATAAAGAAATTACAAGTAGATAACATATTATAATATATGAAGTATTGAAAAAAAAACCATAAAAAGTTTTAAAATTGTAGAAAAGACCCTGAAAAGTTTAAAATTATAAAAATCATCCCAATGTCTCAAAACTTAAAATAAAAAACATGGTAATTTGGGCAATTCTAGATGAAGAATCTCGCCGCAAAGTCTTAGGAGATGAGGCCTCTAGCAGTGAGAGTGCTCTGCATGTTGAGGCACGAGGACGTGCGCAGAAGAAGGGTGGGGGACGACGAGGCCAATCAAAATCCAAAGGGAAGTTTAAAGGGCCAAACCCGAATGGTTACGATGAAGGGAAGTGTTTCAGATGCGGAAATAATGGTCACTTTACACGGGACGGCAGAGTTTCTGTTCCAGTATCAGCAGGGGATGATCGGGCTGACAGTGCAACCAATCTCATGCACGAGACGGATTCGGATGCGCTTCTCCTATCCTTAGAAGACAAAAGCGATGCGTGGATCATTGACTCTGGCGCATCTTTCCACGCAACCTCACAACAAAAGCTGCTTTCATCGTTCGTGAAGAAGGACTTAGGGATAGTCTATCTTGACGATGATTAACCTTGTAATGTTTCCGAGAAGGGAAATTGTACCCTCAAGATGGAGGGCGGGACCATCTTGACGCTGAATGACGTTCGGCATGTACCGGATCTCAGGAGAAATCTTATATCAGTCGGGCAACTGACTGACTCTGGTTACAGAGTATCCTTCGCGTAGAGAAGCTGTAAGGTGTCCAAGGATGCCTTGGTGGTAGCACATGGCAAACGCGAAGGGTCTCTCGACATCGCCAACGGGAAGATCGACCACTTGCTTATCGCAGGACAAGCAGCATCATCATCATCCGTCGACTGCATGACTTGGTATCGACGACTTGACCACATGAGTGAGAAGGGGATGCAGATTATGGCCGCGGGAGAGAGGCTTCCAGGTCTGAACAAGATCAATCTGACTTTCTGTGAGGACTGCATCCTAGGCAAACAAAAGAATGTGAGCTTCAACAAGACCAGACCTGCTCTAAAACTACAGAAATTAGAGTTGGTGCACACCGACGTGTGGGGACCTACGCAAGTCCCGTCTGTTGGAAATTCTCTTTACTTTGTTACTTTTGTTGATGATGCTACTAGAAAATTGTGGGTGTTCTTCTTGAAGCACAAGTCAAATGTTTTCATCATCTTCAATAAGTGGCTTGCCTGTGTGGAGAACGAAACAGGCAATAAACTGAAGTACCTAAAATCTGATAATGGAGGTGAGTATTATAGCCAGGAGTTCGAGAACTTCTGCTCGTCCCATGTGATTAGAAGACTAAAGACCATCCCAGGCACACCTCAGCACAATGAAGTGGCGGAGCGCATGAATCGTACTATCTTAGAGCGCGCCCGAATTATGAGGATCCACTCCGGATTGCCCAAGAGTTTTTGGGCCGAAACAATCAATACTGCTGCATACTTGATCAACCGCGGGCCATTCACGGTTCTCAGTTATGGGATACCTGAGGAGGCTTGGACCGGAAAGAAGCTGAAGTTAGAGCACTTACGAGTATTTGGTTGTGACGCCTATGTCATGACTAATCTCGCAGACCGATCAAAGTTTGATCTAAAGTCAAAGAAGCTATCTTTCATCGGTTATGGAGGAGATAAGTAGGCCTGTCCATCCGGGCCGGGCCGGCCCGGGCCG